CACGACAAACGGAAGAATTATCCCTCACTACGTCATAATCCACTGACATAATTATTGTCAATTTGAGATTCGCATAGCTGTAGTGATATCTCATATTTCAAACTTACAAAACTTTCTTATTATTGTTCCGATTTATTTCAGACTTTATCTTTTTTTTTTCCTGCTTTCATTCAAATGAACTTATTACAAGGGGTGGATTGCCATTTAATTGCTTTACGCGTGGTGCCTTGTGTTGTGTGAAAAGGGACCAACGCAAAGATCAGCATTCTAAAAAAAGCTCTCAATAATTGATATATATCAGATATGTATTTTATTGTTAGAAAAACTTTGAAAAGACTGCGACAGTTATTGAAATGTTTCGGTCGAAAAAAGGAAGCAACCACGTAAAACGTTCAGTAAACACATACTTCCGTTCAGTTCGTCAATATGACCCTGCAAAGATTGTCAACCCTATACAGATCCGTAGTGGAAATATGATTTGGATGCATGGAGTCCCTAAATATATTTTCTGATGTTCACATCCATCCCCGTCGCTGCCCACTATATCTTTCCTTTCTTCGGTGACTCGGTGATGATGACTTGGTGACATTTCCCCTCCTCCTTCTCCTTCTTCTTCTTCTCTTTCTTTATTATCTGTTTTAATTATTATATGTATTGTAAATAAAGTTTTACTTTCAAAAGTCAAAAAGTCTTCTTCTTTCCTTCTTCTTCTTTTTCTTCTTCTTCTTCTTCTTCTTCTTCTTCTTTCCCTTCTTCTTCTTCTTCTTCTTCTTCTTTCCCTTCTTCTTCTTTTTCTTGTTCTTGTTCTTGTTCTTCTTCTTTCCCTTCTTCTTCTTCTTCTTCCTCTTATTCTTCTTCTTCTTCCTCTTCTTCTTCTTCTTCTTCTTCTTCCTCTTCTTCTTCTTCTTCTTCTTCTTCTTCTTCTTCTTCTTTCCTTCTTCTTCTTCTTCTTCCTCTTCTTCCTCTTATTCTTCTTCCTCTTCTTCTTCTTCTACTTCTTCTTCTTTCCCTTCTTCTTCTTCTTCTTCCTCTTCTTCTTCTTCTTCTTCTTCTTCTTCTTCTTCTTTCCCTTCTTCTTCTTCTTCTTCTTCTTCCTCTTCTTCTTCTTCTTCTTCTTCTTCTTTTTCTTTCCTTCTTCTTCTTCTTCTTCTTCTTCTTTTTCTTTCCCTTCTTCTTCTTCTTCTTCTTCTTCTTCTTCTTCTTCTTCTTCCTCTTCTTCTTCTTCTTCTTCTTCTTCTTCTTCTTCTTCTTCTTCTTCTTCCCTTCTTCTTCTTCTTCTTCCTCTTATTCTTCTTCTTCTTCCTCTTCTTCTTCTTCTTCTTCTTCTTCTTCTTTCCCTTCTTCTTCTTCTTCTTCTTCTTCTTCTTCTTCTTCTTCTTCTTCCTCTTCTTCTTCTTCTTCTTCTTCTTCTTCTTCTTCTTCTTCTTCTTCTTTCCCTTCTTCTTCTTCTTCTTCTTCTTTCCCTTCTTCTTCTTCTTCTTTCCCTTCTTCTTCTTCTTCTCCTTCTTCTTCTTCTTCTTCTTCTTCTCTTTCTTCTTCTTCTTCTTCATCTTCTTCTTCTTCTTCTTCTTCTTCTTCTTCTTCTTCTTCTTCTCTTTCTTCCTCTCCTTCTTCTTCTTCTTCTTCTTCTTCTCCTTCTTTTTCTTCTTCTTCTTCTTCTTCTTCTTCTTCTTCTTCTTCTTCTTCTTCTTCTTCTTCTCTTTCTTCTTCTTCTTCTTCATCTTCTTCTTCTTCTTCTTCTTCTTCTTCTTCTTCTTCTTCTTCTTCTTCTCTTTCTTCCTCTCCTTCTTCTTCTTCTTCTTCTTCTTCTTCTTCTCCTTCTTTTTCTTCTTCTTCTTCTTCTTCTTCTTCTTCTTCTTCTTCTTCTTCTTCTTCTTATTCTTCTTCTTCTTCTTATTCTTCTTCTTCTTCTTATTCTTCTTCTTCTGTCTATTTTGTCTCTCCATCCCTCACCTTCTCTCAGTGTTCCCATTCTTTGTCTCCCCCTCACTCTCTCGGTGCCTCCTTTCGGGGTTCCCATTCTGTGCATGTTTCTCAAGACGTAAGTTTGTATTTTTGTCTCTGAATCTCTCCAATTCTCTTCCCTTCTTCCCTTGCTCTGTGTCTCTCTTTCATTATATTTTCCAACCGCACCCTTTCTCTTTTTCTATTTCTATCGGGTTGTCTCTCTCTCTCTCTCTCTCTCTCTCTCTCTCTCTCTCCCTCTCTCTATCTTACTCTTGCTCTCTGCACCCCTCTCCACCTTCCTATCCCCCTTCAATATCATGCATTGCCTAATAATATGTACCAGCCTGTTTGTCTTTTAGCTTAAATAATGATAATTATATTCATAAGTCACAATGCTATCGGAGATATACGTTTTAATCGATTGGATACAAATGGGGATTGGGCACTACACGTCGATGTTCATTCAATGCACAGTTTGGTTTTAAAATACTCACGAATTGATCTAAGGCTACCAATAACAAACTGCCTTTCCTTTCTTTGCGCGAGATAACAATCATTCGACTTCTCAGTCCACTGAATCAGAGAGATATATCTTTCCACAAAGCATGAATGAATGATTGAATGAAAACGGGACAGTCCCTGCTTTAACTCGATATGATTGTTCGTTGGTTGTAGAACTATTAAATGATAACAAGTGATTGTAAGCGCAATGATTGTGAAATGACAGTTGAGTTCACAGTGCATGGAGCTCTAATATACACGAACTATATCAAAAGTATAGCCAAACAAGACTGACAATTTAATGGTATTTTTTCTTCTAAAATGAGGGCCAAACTCGCAAAATCCTTTGTTATTAATGTCATGCCATCATAATTATTCAGGCGACTTTGTACCTCCTGTTTACTCCTGTGGCTCATATCATAATTACAATGTGCTACAAGGCCTTATTAAGTAGGGGCGAAGTTCACATGACTTTTGCAGTCGTTAAATACGCATGATAGAGTACTGTTGCAGTATTACCCGTACCCCATCAACACCCAGCCCTGTACTGAACAAGAAGAAGCTGGCAATAACTGACATGGCTCGGTGGTGGAGCAGTGGTCTCGTAACCGGCAGGTCCCGAATTCGAAACCAAGTCGATGCGCTAGTGCCCTTTGGTAAGACATTCATTTGACCAAGTCCATCGGAAAGGATGTAAAGCCTTTGGTTTACTGTTTGCTTAACTTTCCAGCATGCACAAGTTTTTTTAGCAATGAAAAATAAACCATCCAATTATCCCTCAAAAATATCAATTTTACTAAAACCATGAAACCATGAAATTTTATGGTAGTAGACATGGTAGGCGCCCCTTTGGAAGGAAATGCGTGTTGAAGAAACCTGTCTATAAAGGCCATCTTTCTTCAGTGACCACTTTCTGTGTTTCTCTTTGGTGACCTTAATAGACAGATTTGACTGTATATCCACTACACATGGGTGATGTCAATGACTAAAATAGCTTTAAAGCACAGAAAATTTTAAAAGATAAATCAGGTTGCAAAGTACATCATCATGAATAAGTTACAAAGGCCGTCGAACTTTCTAGCGAGCTCATTGTGAAGTTACTTTCCATTTTCAAGGGAAAAAGGAAAGATAAAACAAAACCGTGACGTAATATTTTACGGAAAATAACGAGAGAAAAAAAAGTATTTTTAGCAAGCAAAAATTCAAAACGATACTAGATAGATAGATAGATAGATAGATATATGGTTTTATTCAAGTACTGATTAAAAAGTCCGAAGACTAAATAAGTCAGTTTACAATATAAAATGCATAACAATAAAAATAACAAGGTACAAAACACATGGATAAATTAAATCATTAATAAGTAAAAAAATATAATAAGTATATAAGTATATAATAATAAGTAAATAAATAATTATATACAATGACCATAAATAATTATATATAATACGACAGAGAGTGAAAGGACTTGGAATTCAAATTAAAAACAAATTAAAACAGCTTTGAGAGATCACAATACTAATATTTGACATAATCATTATGCAATAATTAATTAACAGTTAAAATTCACAATGGCGAACATAATGGGGCATAACTAAGAAGTTGAATTCAGAAGTTGTATAAAGTAAGGAATGGGAGAAAGCATGCGTCTTTGAGTAGAGTTCCGAAGATTGCGACCTGTGATTGATTCTCTACTTTGTGGCAAGAGATGGCCACTAGCGATCAAAAAGTGCAAAGATAAAACCGAAGTATAGTCCAGGTAATGTGTTGATGAGGTGGGGTGGGAGGGGGGGGGGGGGGGGGTGCCCGGAAATATCTTTTATAATGCCGTCGAAGTATATGCCTAATCACGAAAATGTTGTGTGTGGACAGGGAGAGTGTAACTAGTGTAACTAACTGGGCGGGGCTTAACGTGACCTCGAGCGAAAGGAGACCAGACTGTAGAGTTTCAGGATTACTTTCTTCTGTTTATGGACATCCTTGAATTTATACGATGATTATTTATATGACGTTTCTTGTGTGTGGACACTTTGAAATTTAGACTATGATTCTTTATACGACGTTTCGTTATAGAGTTTCGGGATAAATTGTTTTGTGTGTGGACACGCTGAGAGAACAACAAGTAGAATGATAGAGAGATAGAAGGAAAGATAGAACAACGAGAAGAGACGGTAGTAAGGGGTGAGGAAAATAGTAAGAGGGGGTAGAGATAAACGTTAGTGAGAGAAGGGGGACGTGAGCGAGAGAGAGAGAGAGAGAGAGAGAGAGAGAGAGAGAGAGAGAGAGATAGGATGGGAGAGGGAGGGATAGAGAGAGAGAGAGAGAGACAGAGAGAGAGAGAGAGAGAGAGAGAGAGAGAGAGAGAGAGAGAGTGAATAATAGGCCAATTATCAAAATGACGAAGCTAAATTCCAGGGTAGTTCGGTCGTAACAAATAAATATGAACACAATAATACCTCCCACGACATGCAAAGCCCATTTTCAATGCGGTTAGGCTAAAGAAAAGAAAAAAAAAGAGGGAAACAAAAATTGTAGGACTTTGCCCTCTACATAATATAGAGATATCTCTTCCGTGTATCAAGGTATGATCCGATAATAAACGACAATCGAGCTAACACAGTCATTTGCGGTAATGTATACGAATAATTCTGAGATTCGTTTCTTTGTTTGTCATGTTTCGGACGAAATCTCTCGTTGGCGCACCTAGGGGGAAAAAAAACCTCTATGCTCAGACGCGTGCTGTCAAAAGCTGAAATTCGAAAGGCAACTACGACCATAATGTTTTTGTCTGGAAGTTGATGTCTTCTGTAGTAATGACAGGTGACCGGTTATTGCCTACCTGTAAACTCAATTGTGTAATTATTGGTATACAGGCGTCTGGATCAACTTGGGTTTTTTTTTATCGGAAGTTGTTGATTGCGTCCAATGACCGGACCTGGTATGCTTGTCGGAAGTATACCTGTACTTTAGTGGATATTGTGTGATTAAAATAAACGTTTAGCGATAATGACAGGAAAGGGAACCGGACAGACGTGACGTGGAAATAAAAGTGTCAATTGTTTTCTTTCATTTGGTTTTTTTTCAGAAGCACAGATTCATGGTGGATATGGCTCAAGAGGAAAATACATGCACGTGCTCAACACGTTTAGTGGTAGGATGTTCGAGAGTTGTAGGCTTACATAGCGCACACCGTGGTGGATTGATATAGGTCCACACAATGCTCATGGTTGACGGGAAGAGTGAGAGGGAATGCGAGATCTTCTGATCACTGAAATTGTGCCACCGACATTATGAATCACTTGCGAATCAGTGCTGCCCATACATCGGTAATAAACCTCTTCATCACTCCACATGCCAGTTCTGTCATGCCGGTTTAACATTTGCTATAAAATCTAGTGTTGCAGCCGCTAGAACCGGCCGTGCAGAGCGTTAACCGGTTTTAGTTCAGAGACCTTACAAAGAGTGTGATATACATCAGGATGAAGCCTCCTTTAGATACCTACCAGCATCCCTTCAAGTCTTCGGCCAGGAGATTGCCAGACATAGCAGAGATCCCCAGTCAGGATCAACATGACCAATACGTCCCCTGCAGATGCTACGGGTTCACCGAACACTGTCCGATGGGAGATCATCAGGACTCGAAGACCACATCTTCAAGCGCGTCAAGAGCACCTAACAGAACTTCACTGATGCCTCTGGGCCACTATCACATCAGTAAGACCCACACCAGGACACATGCTAGAGGAGCAGCGAAATTTGTCTTGACACTCATTGTTGTTGGTGTTCTTATTGCGGTCGTGTCAGCCATGGCTTACAGGGTGGCTTCGTTGAGTAACACCCAAGCACATCTCCTGGAACGGGTGACATTATTAGAACACAGACTGGCCGAAGTTGACGAGGCTTGTGAGTGTGGGAGGGGGGCAACTAAAGGGGAACGTGGACAGAAAAACCTCAGTAACGGGGAAAGACGAAATAACAAGTTCGCTTTTATTATGACACAAGGTCATGCAAAACTCTTAGAAGGAGAAACAGAGCCGAAGCCGGTTGAAGACCTGAATCCACTGCATGAACTGAAAGAGGTTCTTGATACAGTAACACCAGAGGTAAGATCACTGATACAAATTATGTACAGAAGATTTTGCCTATGACATGTATTGTTGACAGGGCTTAGTTGAATTGAATTGAATTGAATTTGAATTAATTTAAAACACCACGTCACAATAATGACAGTACATGTGAACAATATCATACAATGCAAATAATGATGCTGATACATAAAAAAAGAGTAATGTTGATTGAACAGTAATGGTTTTAAAACGATGTTTAGATACAGATCTGCATACTATTAAATGTACAAAAGATATACATGTAAAAATATGTATAACTAATATTTAGATGAAATTGTTAATGTGAACTAGAAGTTAGCACAAGTGCTAGTCGAGCCTAGTTCCATGATTTGGAAATGCTCTTCAGAATTTGATTATAAATTTTATACCAATAATCAAATAGTCATTTTAAGTATTTTTGTTAGAGTGAAATTGTAGAACGAAATGACTTTTACCATTTGTAATTCGCAGCCCCCAAAAAGAAGTAAATAATAACGTATCATTTATGTTTAATTATACATATAATGATGATTAAGTCATTATTACTTACAAGGTTTTGATAACAGACATAATTATATTAAGCTATTTCAATCATGCATGTAAAACAAATTTCGTAGTCCATGCAATTATCGACCTCATCACCCCGTTACATTAATAGCATAGCTTAGACGTTGCTATTCAAGCCGGCAAAGCGTAAGCACAATTTGCATTAGACGAGACGAAATTAACTAAAGAATACCTACTTAGATCCATTTGGCACTATGTAAATAGTTATGAAAGCCATGAAAAGATATTTCACGATGTTCACCGGATAAACAAATAAAAATGAGAAAATTTACATATTACGAGGGCGTTGAACGATGAGTAATGTTTTTATTAAATCAATATGTATTAGCATGCTAAGTGGAAGATTTTCAAATATGGATTTTATAGGTATATACTGTAAGAGACAAATGCTGACATGTTATCACTGCAATCGTATTTGTTCATAAAGATTTAGGTACATTACCATAACTATTGGCCTGCTGAAAGAAAAGAAGAAAAGACAAAAACCTTCATTTATTAGTCAGTTAATTTACCCTCATTTTCAAATATGGATTTCATAGGTATATTAGAGACAAATGCTGAAATTGTATCACTGCAATCGTATTTGTTCATAAAGATTAAGGTACATTTATACCATAATTATTGACCTGCTGATTAAAAGTAGAAAACCAAAAGATTTAATGAGTATTCAATAACTTTACACTCATTTAAGATTCATCCGAAAGTCCTGATCAGACTCGAGGAGGCAAGGAGCACCTTGGCACCACCGCAAACACGAGACCCTGCGAGCACCAACCCCGCATCATTAGATGACACACGCGCACCTCCGAAAAGGATGCCTGTCATATCACAACACAGCGAGAGAACGGGCAGGTTTAAAAGAGGTAATAGAAGAAAGGGGAGACCCCGTGATGCACAGGAGGAGACACCAAGGGCAAGAGCTGCCCCGCGACCAGGAGACTCGGGTATGACGTCATCGTTCATTCTTATTCTTTCCTTTCCAATTTTATTCGCAGCCTTTATTAATTGTTTGATGTTAAGAGTTATACATTATTTATCTAAACATTTGAATAATCCTAGATTGACGTATATTTTTGCCTTGCATCAGTTGTCATTGTGACTCGAAAAGTCTTACATGCAATGACGATATGTCTGTCTGTGTCTATATCTATGTCTCTTTTCCGCTGTATGTCTGTCTGTCTGTCTCTTCTTCTCACCATCATGCCTCTCCCACTTCCATCTGTGTATCAGTCTGTCAGTCTCTGTCTCTATGTCTCTCCCTCCCACTTTGTCCGTCTGTGTGTCAGTATGTCTGTCTCGATCTCTATATATCTCCTTCCCTTCTCTCTCCTTCGCTGCCTGTATGTTTGTCTGTTTCTTTCTTCTTCAGATAATATTCTCAAATTGTAATTAGAATTATGCCCTTATCTCTGTAGTCTATAGACTACAGTTATATATAACTTCTTATTCATTAATTTATCTCTATATATTTAATCTTGTTGTTCTAATTTCAGAAAGTAATTCTACCGAGATAAAAGGCGTCCATTTCCAAGCCAATCTCAATCGCACTACCACAATCGGCGTAGGTGAGGGTACGAATTGTTTTATTTGCTTCAGAAGGAGTTCTGCATGCAATTATAATCTAAACTTATCATCCATAAACACATTATTCATCAATAAGAAATAAATCATGTAGAAATGCTGTATGGAAGCTGTATGAAATTGGATAGTACAAAGTGTAAGTTACGATATGATAGGAAAGATACATGTAGCTAGATAGGTGGATACTTAGATAGATTGATAGATAGGTCGACAGAAAGACAGATAGTCAGACAGACAGATAGATAGATACATAGATAGACAGATTGATAGATAGATATATCATGCAGATGTGGACAGATGAAATGTTTGGTATTGTTTGTTTGTAATGATAACAATTGGCTTAAAAATATAAACAATTATCTCGGTCAAGGTATTCATATCAAATGTTCATACAGTATGTGCACCATCTCCTTTTTGAGCATTTGATGTCTGGCATTACCCATGCATGCATTTTCTTAAATTTACAAGGGCTTTCATAAGATTGAGGTTAGTGTTACGATTATGTTATGAGTAAGGTGTAGGTTAATATTTGGCAGAGTGTTGTTCCTGAGTTGAAAGAAGAGCATTATTTTGTTTTCATCGTTGTGCAATCCAAAAATGACATTTAGTTGAAACTGTTTCCGCCGTTCATCTCATTTAACGAAATAAGACGACGTCATGCTTTTTGACAATCTTGCATTTTCTTCCTTCTCCCTTTTCCACTTTCAAAAAGCTGGCTGGGTCCCTTACTGGGCTCTCTCATCATCTATACTGAATGCCGGCTCCTCTGACCGCATGGATGAAATCAAGAGCGAGTTTCGGCTATCAGCACGAGGTAATGTGACGGTACGCACTCCAGGGCTTTACTACGTCTATAGCCAGGTAATTATTTTCATTTGCTTCATTTTTGAGCAATGATATAACATTTTCCACACTTCCTAAGTCACACGTTCATATCACTTCCTTCTTTAAAAAATACGTTTCCCACAAGACACAAGTACTCAAAGCCTTCCCGAGACCTCATAATAGACAGTCGTAAGTATGGGCATCAATGCATCATGCTATTTCAATAAAAAGGGGAGGGGGCAAAGGAACGGCCCCTCCTCCTTTCTCCCTCCTGAGAGTAGTTTAAATGGTTCCTATTCTACCTTTCAAGTCCTCTTGATGAAATTAGTATCTTGTTATTGAAATGTTGAACATTTATCGATGTTTTATTTATTTATTTTATTGTTTTTTATCTATCAATTCTTTTACATTTGTTTTTTTTTCTGAGGGGGAGAAATTTACCTGTACTAACCCTGAACATTTTTGTTTTCCATTTAAGAAGTTAGTCAATGAATACAGATGAGTAACTTATAATTATGTTAAACTGCTTGGGATGATGATGGTGATGATGACGATGACGATGGTAATGATGATAAAATGACGACTATGTAGGTAATGAGGATGACGATGGTGATGATTGTGGTGATGACGGCGGCGGCGACGACGATGATGATAGTGGTGATGATGGTGGTGATGCTGATGGTGATTCCGATGATGATGACGATGATGATAATGATGATTTCTCCCCACAACGTGTTCCAAATGACCGTTGTTGTCGGCAGAGGGGCAAACAAGTAAAACATTTTTTCCTCGTCATCTCACCATACAGATGATGTACTACGACCCGAACGAGTACATCGGTCATAGCATCGTGATCGACGGTGTCGAGGCTTTCACCTGCATTGCCCCGATCGCGGGGCAGACGAGCAAGTACAAGACGTGCTTCATCGGCGGGCTCGTCTACATTCCACCCCGGGCCAAGGTCGGTATCAAGATGCTTTACGCTCCTCGTCGCGTCTGCCTCTTCGAAGATACCAGTTATTTCGGCATGTTTAGAGTTACTTGATGATTAAACCAGGGTAACTCCATTTTTCTTTGTTTTAAAGAGGGGTCCACGTTGAGAGAGCCCCTCTCTAATTCTTGAAGCACGAGTCTAGCCCAGGGCTGCTCCAATCCTGCCACTGATGTGTTGTTTAGTGGCGGTTATTTTACCTGACTGCAAAGAAAGCATAATGCTTGTTAGTAAGCAACCAGAGGACCGACGGCTTTAGGTCCACTCCAAGGGACCAAGTTGTCCGTCCTGATGATGTGAAGGTCTTATTGGGCTATTACAGAAGGAGAAACCAAGTGCAGAATCAGTTCTTCCGTTTTAGTGAAGGACTTCTTTAGCAATTGCCTTATTTGTATGCATCATTTTGTTAACCTTTGACAGGTACGAGACCGATGACTTTACGTCATTTCCGAGGGCATAGGTTGATGCAGCTTAAAGCCTGTAACCCGCGTTACTATAGCTCTAATTTGGTTTCAAGATCACCTTGTTCACTTAACTATTCAAAAGAGGAGGCTGTAATGCAATGCGAACACTTTTCGACATCTTTCACTGAACTATGTTATGTCATGCATTATGGAATGAAGTCGAAAATACATTTTTTTATCCACTGACGAGTTTGATTTAAGGAGACGGCGAAATTGGAAATACTTAGATGAAGTTTTAAGTTTATGGGGCATAAGATGAATGAATGATAATTCATGTGGATGTGTCGCGATCTGAGAAATACGCACCAGTCATCACTTTTCATTCAATAGGATTGAGTAATTGCATGCACATGAAAACAAGTTACCCATAGTGCACGTGCAGCAAATGTTTGTATTGGGTTAATGTGGATAGATGGCCGCCTAGCCAAAATCTAGATTTTAATTTTGTTTTATGATTTCTTTTATTTTTTTTCAAACAGTAGTCGTACAAATCAAATCAAAGTAAATACACATTACATCATTCAGAAGTTAATTCGTACATTTACCTTTTCATCCAAAACGGTGAACAGAAGAACAATCTTCAAAATATACATACTTTGTTAATTTTTGTTTTTGATAAAACAATTCCTTTTCTCGTCTGCAATGGATATCAAATTCGTTTTGCCACATAAATAAAGATAAAGCATAATATTTTTCAATTTCCAAGAGAGGGGAATATAACTACCAGATTCACAGATTTCGAATTAAATGTTGTCTTCACGAGGTTCATGTGTCCGTTGCGCTATACGGTGAGGAGTTGTTACAGACATCATTTTTTTCTCAGACTTCAAATTCATTTCATTTCGTAAAGGGAAGTCCCTGTCTTTAAACTTTGCATCATATAAAACAAAATGAGAATTACTGAAGATAAACATAAGCATTTTGGTGTAAGCGTGTATGTCCATTGATAAGATTTATCAATAAATTCATGTGACGTTACATTTGCCTAAGTGTGTCATGCAAGCAAATCAATCACACCGGCAAATTATTGTAAGAACCATTTTTAACGTCAATTTTATTCTCAACAATGCTTACAATTATTTCAATTGACTGATAATTCAACCTAAATATATTTTTTGAATAAAACATCATTACGTTCGTATAATTAATGTTCATGTTACAAGATGTTATTTTGGTATTTGCATTAAAACAAAAAATACAAGCGCTTCTTAGTATACAACGCCCTTGGTTGCATATTTATGTTTACATAGTAATCGTGGACTTGCCTTTGCTAATATTATCTGTGCAAAAGGTCACGGTCATTATACATGTAATTGTGTGGTGTTTGAGGTATCTATTGGGTTGCGTGATTCTATTCATAGATTTAGTTTGAGAAACGCTGAAGCATTTTCTCAGTACCCACCAGTATGCACTGCCATTGTCTAGCTGTAGATCCCTTTCTTGTGTTTAAACAAAATTCTGTGGATTAACAGCATACCGTGATTAGGTCTAGACCCATTTTTCGTACTTTTAAAGCCGATGTGTCGCTACAATATTTTGAAGTGGGATACGCGTGGAATAAACTTGGCAAAATGTTTGCAGAAAATCCCACCCACTTCCAAAGTAAGGTCCTTCGACTTCAAATTTTATTGATAGTGACCATGGATTAGCTGACAAAAATCTCAAACAGAGACCAAAAAAAAAGAGATCCTATAGCTCCCTATGAGGGCAGCACAATTGATTAAGAGAGTTTGGCCAACCCGGTTCGAGTTAGGCAAGCTTAAACAAAAAAGAGGATACGCCATGTTGTAACCAACTGACCTAACTACTTAAAGATGCCCGAACTCTTCTAATCAATGGCACAGGAATAGGATAAAGCATCACACCCTCTAGCGACGCGGCAGAAGGACATTTTATGCCAGTTGCGCACATTTCTGTGGTTGCACACGAGGCGTCATTCGTGTCAATTGCGTCACTGGCTGCGCTAATAAATCGTATGGAGGTTATTAATGGATGTGCCTATGGTTTCACACAGCGTCTGCACCGTTCCTTTTGTATTCGCTTTCTGTACGATATCACTCGGCCAGTGACGCATCAAAGACTTGCGCAGGGCATTGATACAGTCTGCGTCAGCACATAGCACTTCTTGTTCAACGAGCATATACACGATACACAATCAAGAATCAATTTCTTGATTCCCAAAAAATGGGAACATCTTAAGGTAAACATGGATAATATGCAAGAAAATGCAAGGGATGAGGAAAGGGGGGGGGGGGCCTGCCCGGTTCACAGCTGTGTGTGATTGACCGGTCTCGACTGCCATAGACTGCCCACGTCTTCTTGTATCGTTTTTTTTTGTTTTTGTTTTTTGTTTGTTTGTTTTGTTTTCTGTTTTTGTTTTGTGTTTGTTGTTGCTGGTTTTGTTTTTAACGGGGGTAGGGGATATAACAAACTTTATTCATTCGATATAACTAGGTTGATTGTAGTCTGTACTTTGTTCCAAAATTATAATATGTAATAGGGATACTATAGTACTGCAGAACAAAATATAGAGGGGGGGGGGGTTATAACAATATTAATTCATTCAATATAATTGAGATTACTGTATTTTGTACTCTGTAATTGGTTTCAATATGTTATATATTACAATTTGTATGAATTAATATTATTTATTGAGTGAATACAATAAAGAATATTACAAAACAAATTTTTTTTAAAAGAATAAATGGGTTAGCTTTAGGAGAACTGTTATGCGTGTAATATTATGTACATTTACATTCATGTAGGTGTGTTGTTGTAAAAGAAAAGCTCCAAAGCAATCTGTTTTTTTCTTCTTCACTTTAAACAATTTCTTTGCTGATTTTATTGCCCAGTGTTGGCAATTGACTGTACATTATTTTTGTAAATAGCATGCACTGTATCATTAACACTATTAACCAAGAACTTGCAATACTTTCTTCTATGACATGACTTTGTTTAGTTTGTAACTACTGATGTCTTTCTGCATTATATTCAGTAAAAAAAATTGTGTGTAAAAATAAAGAAAATGGAAGAAAACAAAATTCAGTTATGCTCTCTATTACATGGCTCTATTTTGTTGTACTGTATTTAATATAGCAGAAACCCTTGGAGATTGACAAGTTCAAAGTCAAAGTCGAAAGTATCTGTCAAAACTCTTTTTTGTTTTTATTTGCCATTTTCAGTAACTTGACGTCATCCCAAAGCCTAAAGTAATATGAATCAAAATGGTGTCGATTATGATAATGGTGATGATGAAGGACGGTGATGACAATGATGACTACAATAACGATGATGATGATGATGATGACGACGACGATGGTGAGGATGATGATGATGGTGGTGATGGTGATGATGATAATTAGGGTATAAATTGGTGCGTATGGTGGAGATGATAATTATGGAGGCGATGGTTGTGATGGTGATGAGGGTGGGTGTAATGGTGGTCAGTGGCGTAGAGCCGGTCTTAATACGTATAAATAGGCGCCCCTGAATAATAGGTATTAAGTAATGATTTACGCCCCTGATGGTGGTGATGATGATAATTATAATGATGATGATGATGATGATGATGATGATGATGATGATGATGATGATGATGATGATGATGTTGATCATGGTGATAATGATTATGATTATGGAATTGACACTCAGCTGGTGATACACACAAAATAAATACTTGTTTTTGCATAGCTTCGAAGAAGCATTACGTGTAGGGAAGGGAAATTAATATTCAACGAGTACACTTTCAGTAATGCGCCCTCTTGAGGAGAAATTTAAGGTTTTTCATTCAAAGCCAAATATTATTTGTCACGTTGCTTTGACTCAAAATTTACTTTACATATAATTTGTTTGTAAAAGAAGGTAGAAGGGACATTACAAAAGGATATCAAAACGTGTTTGTTAGTGAGTGAGTGTGTGTGTCTACGTATGTGAGGGTGTGTGTGTGTGTGTGTGTGTGTGTGAGAGAGAGAGAGAGAGAGAGAGAGAGAGAGAGAGAGAGATTCCCATCAAGAAGGGGGGGGGGGTATTTTTTTTAATGGGAACACATTTTTAATGCAACACTTTGTTACACCCCACCCTCCTACCCCTTCCGAGAAACAAAAAGGCTCATTACGCCTTTGAAAGTATAGATCCTCCATTAGTTTCTACTGGATATGTTAAAACAGATGGTGAGATAAAGAGATTTATCGATTTTTAAATGGCCTAAATCTTTACTTCACCCGGCAAGCCACTACGTGAGTGTGATAGCTAATTAGCCTTTAGCCTAATGAGGTCTGTTTCTGTGTCTATGAGTGCGTGACTTGTCTTTCAAATTGTGTGCATGCACACGCAAACGGGTCAGGCGTTTTGCGGTGATTTAATCGTTAGTCAACTCGGGTGTGGTCCAAACAGTATTTCATTTTTGTAATCAGTAAGCAATATTCATCGCGAGGTACATATTTCATTACGATTTAAGACGGATTCTGATTTATCAACTGGTGTTAATTTGCTGTCAAGAATTTGAGTGTTTTTTGGGCCCAAATACTGGTGTATAATTACAAAAGGTAAGTACTCATTTTGTGTGATATTGTTTGTTTCACTTGGTGGTTTTTCTTCGAATTAGATATCCTTTTAGCTCGAAAAAAGAAAGAAAGATGTAAGCCTATACGCTGTGTTAGCCCTATATCTGTAAAATTACGTTATCCCCATACAAGTATACTTCTAAATAAAAATGATTTATAAAGAATTGAAATAATTGTCAGTTATCGTTATGGAATATATTTGAAATAGTGGTCAGTAATTCTTATTGAATATGTTTCATTGCCAATGAATTATTTTTATTTTAATAAGTGGTAAACAATACCACCAATTGATCTTTTACAAATACAATGTTTACCTTTATTCTTTTGTGCACCAGTTGTTATTTCAAAGCAAGTCATATGTTTAAAAGATGTTCGAGTGAATACAATTTAAAATGATTCCTATACTACACTAGATATTGTTCATTTTTCTCTGCGACGATATGAATTGCTATATTGTGTTCTCCTGCCGACAGTGTTTATATCATTTTAAAGAAAACAATAACAAAGACGAACAAACAATATACTAATCTATAGAGGATACATAATGTATCATCTAGATTAGTTTATGGGGGGGGGGGGGTAAGGGAGTCTAGTAAAGTGATGATAATAAGTGGTACCAGCCGTTACTATATAGAGTTGGTATTATATAATCTGACAATTTTACATGTCCGTCCCTGTTTTCACGAAGTGACGGTAGTGAGGAAAATCGTCACGCAAAGTGAATGCAATTTTTTTTCACTACCGTCACTTCGTGAAAACAGCGACGTTCAATAAATGTTTTTGTCTCATACTTGCGAGTGTTTGTTTGTATGTATATCTCTCTGTCTCTCTATCCCTTTCTTCCTCTTCCACACTCTCTCCCTCTCACCATCCCGTCTCCTCCTTTTCCGCATCATTCGTTCCCTCTCTCGTATCTCCTGTTGAAGAATCTCCTATTACTATCACCTTCAACTCCTGAGCCTCTTACGTTTATTGAAACTCATATTAAAATAAATTTTCTCGAATTTAATATTCGACAGTTTTTACCACTTTAATGAAGAAGGCAATGTTATAATATCAGAAAGCCTTTTCGCGCCTTTTTTTAAATTTTACATAATACATTTATTCTTCATAAAAAAGCAACCCCCCAAAACACTACTATATTAAAAATGGCCGTGTTGTGAGAAATCCTAATAATAAAGGATATAACATGTCATTTATAGGAAGTAGTAGAGGTCGGGGGAGGAGGGGGATGGGGGTTGGGGGGGGGGGGGGGGGGGAGGTGAGCCGAACCTAAACCAGACCTCCCCTGAAACGAGATTGCATAATATTGATCAGGTTGACACCGGCTACACTATGGATATAACAATTCTGTCTCTTTATTGATTCCCCCGCTTCTTTTGATGAGAGTATAACATGAGAGGGGGTTATACTGGTGATGTCACAGAGCCATTGATTAGGATAGTTTGGCCAATAATGCGAATTGGCAAGCACACAACAGATGGAGTAAACTCAATTTTGTGACTAGTGACTAAGTTGGCCAAACTCTGTGTATAAATGGCTCTGGATATACAGTACTACCACTCACGACCCGCCAATGCAATATCAAGATTGCATCGTACTGATCAGAGCCAGTAGGGTGTTAACAATGTGGTCAATTATATGAAGCAACGTCCTCCTAATTCTAGACCGAATGAAATGAAATATTTTGTGTCTGCGATTTTACTTCTACTCTTTCATCATCCTTTATGATGATTCCCCATGACTTGCATACAACGAATCTAAGTGACATAATGGATACGATAAGTCATCTGCCAGTTAAGAATTTCATCACCATGACCACTCTTTTTGCTTCTCATAAAGAAAATACGAACAGACGCAGCAAAATTAGTGAAGAATGTTTGATATTTTACTGCAATAATATTACAAAACATTTCACTGCGTTACGCGTGCACATAATCTCACATACGTTGTGTCTCAAATTTCGAACTTGTGTTTTTCTTGACTCTTTAAGAATAAGAGTGATTGCATAGCTTTGCATGTTTTTAATCGTTATGCTATTATAAACGAAATTACTAGTTAAAGCCTGTCTGCACTAGTTTGGCCAGGAGGGATTAGACCTCCCTGTCGTAATCACTGCGGTAATCACTGACAGGTGATTATCTCATCAAATCAGCTCCCAATTAACATAAGGAAAAGGGGATCTTGGGGACCAACGCGTACCGCTTAGGCACTGTTTGCCATATAGAGGGCCTAAGTTGATACAAGTAGTGCAGACAGGCTTAAAATGATAGCAAGGTAGGATGAAAAAAACAAACACATTGGCATATATTATGGTCAATAAAACAGGGACTAATCATCTTCTGAATATAAAATGTTATTTTAATTATTATAAAATGAGAGACTGGGGCCAAAAGGTCATTGTGATATTCATCAGATAGTCACACAAAACTGTATTAAGCATTTTAAGATTTAATGCGTTAAATTAATCACATTTTTTACGGTATACGTATTATTCTTTTTTTCTTCCGAATCAGTCCAGCTGATAGATTGAGAGGCAAAACATACCTAGTCAACAAAAGCTCATAATTTTCCTGAGCGCAATATATATAATAAAATGTATCAACAAAAACAGTGCAAGTGAAATTTTATCAGAAAAAGTCACGCATGCATATAAAATGTTTTGTAGTGTAGACATCTAATGAAAGAAAATAATATCAGTTTTTGAGGGGTGGCAATATCATCTGATCATTGTTCGAATTACCCTGTCGATAAGACCCCCTCATTGGATCATAGATTCTTTCCTCAGCGAATCGGACCTTCCTGTTCGCCGATTCTTCATCATCATTCGCAACAGTCGCACCTTTCTCGCCATTACTGTTTCCTGCGTGCGTTGGCAACAAGCCTTGCGGATTGGCTCTTCCTTCTTCCTTTTCAGTGAGGATCCTTCCACCAGGCTTTCCATCTGGTTTCCTCGTGTCCTCCGCAGCCTGGCTGATATCTGTGGCCTTTGGGATTGCGGATAACCTGAAGGGGGCGTTCTTCCGCATTGGCGGTTTCACTTTCGTCGCATTGACCTTCTGCGTCAAGTGTCGTTCGTGCTTCGACAGAAGGTTCCATTGGAACTGCTGTTCGCTACTGCTGTAGGAGCCCTTCAACCTCTGTCGAATCTCCTCGACTGCACGGCACGTGTAACATTCATGCACGAAACGACCGTGTCTGCACAACGGTTGCATCAACTTTTCATCAGTGTCAATGGAGAATCTCTTCCTTTGCTCTTGATTCTGCTTACGGTTCTTTTCAAAGCGGAGCGTTCGTTCGGCTTCCCTCAGGACATCAGTGCCTTTGACCGCGTCCTCAAAGGAATCGTGCAACTTTAGCTCACTGTTCACGCCACCCACCACCGGTCGTACATTGATCTTATACGTCCTATGGTAGGTCACTTTTCCTAATTTCATCACACCACCTGGCAAGGTAATCTGCTGCAGAGAGCCTCTTTTTGTTTTATTCTTCTCAGGGATGGAACCTTGACCAGACAACGACTTTATGTCTGGCAATGGTTTGTCGATTTTCTTGAGGATAGAGGTTTGTGATGGAGGGGCCTCCATCTCAGCTTTGCACACGGGACAATCAGCGCAGGGGTAATGGTTCTTTTCGCCGTGCTTACTCTCGAGAGGAAATTTCTTTCCTGGTTTCAATGTTTTTGTTGGAGACACAACCGCAGTTTTCTTAACAGAAGAAGTTTGAGTAAGTGTGACATTTCTTTCTGAAGATTTTATGACGTTCTCAGGCCTACTTATTACATTCTGTGTAACATATTTGGTGTTGCTGCTTATGGCAGCTTCGAATTTATCTTTGTTCTGTTGGGTAGCACTCGATATGTCTTGCCCCATATCGATTTTTGTAGGATTTGGTGTTTGGACGCGACTTGACGACTGCGAATCCCTTCCATCATTCGGCAAGTCAATGGAGCACGAGCTCGTGTCTCTTTCGTCGTCAGATTCGCCATCAAATTCATTCCCCATCTGCGGCAAGGAAACATGCAGGGTGACCTTTGACTTATAGGGACCTTTCATACCTGGCTTTGGTAAAATTCCCGGATGATACTTCCGGAATCTTTCGTTGGTCACGTTTGTAATGGCATTCCCGTTCTCGTCCAGTTTTACTATGGTAGTTTTTGTATCTTCAAAGGTCGTTACTGCGTCTCGAGGTTCGTTGATCTTAGCCGGGCGGCTGACCGTAGAGTACACAACTCCATCCTTTGTTTTCAGGACTGGTATATGCCGTACCTTCACGTCCTTGAGGACTCTCCAGTTCTGTTTGAAGGAGTTCGGTGATGCCTTTGACCGCTCCTGGACATCGTTGCTGAAGATACTGGACTTGGCATTGCCTTCCGATGGCAGCGCCTCGTTGACCTTGTCGGCCGCACTGGATGCTGATTGGAAGTGCGCCTGACTGATAAACTTGTTGGTCAAAGACAACGCATCGTGTTCCAGTTGGTCCAGTCCGGGTAAGACCATCTTGAAGTGCCTGCGTTGCTTGGGTACCGAGCTCAGTCTGCCTTGGTCCTTGCTCTTTGAAATGGCCATCCGAGCTTGCTTGATCTTGTCCATCCTCTTCGTGTACTCCAGAAGAGAACCGTAAAGCACCTTCTGCTTTTGTTTCCTCTGGTTGTCGCCATCTTGCTGTCCAGTCGTCGCCTTGGCTCTGGGCATGTGTCTAGTGAGCGGTCCGTAGGCCGACGCCACTGCGCCGTAATCTTTGGTTCCGTATGTCATTGTGAGAAGTGGTATTGATCTGCCAGTAAGAAATAAAAAGAACAACAATTTGTTAATGTTTTATATCGAATAATGATGTTGCTTTTTCTCAATAAAAGATTAAACCCACAAAAAGCCAAAAAACAAAACAAACTTTCAATGATTGAAAAATATGGTTCACAGCTCTGATCGAATTTTGGATTCACCGTCATAAATGCTGAATATTTCCCCGGGAGTGGGGGAGGGGGGGGGGATGGGGGAATGGGGTCAGAGTTTCCTTTCTCTAGAAGTCAGATGGGGTTATTTATCAAAACGTTCACTAAACATACAAAAATGTGTACAACAATATTTTAGAAACAAAATAAACTACCAAGGTTTCTTCAAATCCCTTCAAATGTCTGAGTCATCATTTACTAAACATTGGCAGTTTATCAGGCCTATCAGGTTGTAATAACTATTAGTACTACGTACAGTATCGTGAAATGAAATGATTGTCTACGTTATGAGAATTTCCTACATTTTTTTGAAAACTGTATTTCCATTTTCCACGGACTAGTTTAAAACATACATATAGCCATTCAAAGATCTTTCTCACGTTGCCATATTGTCTACAGATGTGGCACGTCGTGTATTATAAGCCCCAAATACATGTGTATATTAGACTTTGACAAAAAGAAGAGAAAAAAACACGCTATCGTCATACAAAGGAGTCGATGAAAATGTGGATATTCATAATTATCAACATAAATACTATTGTAACATTATTGAAAAAAGATGAGCTGAGGGGTTCGACATGGTGGATAATCATCAAAATAGTTATCGTATCTCAAAATTACCACAAATTCCGCTAATTAGCCATTAAAGTTATATAATTTAACTTTGAAAATAGTCATTTCTAAGGTATCTTTAAAACAAAACGACAGGCATAATAACATTTTATGCAGTCAAAATGGATAACAAAGAAAAAAACTTACTAAGTCAAGTCTGATGAATCCGATATCACTAACATTAAGAGAAAATCCACAAAATACAGTTTATCCTCAGCATATCGAGAAATATTCCTTGAAAACTTTGTGGGGCACTTTGACAAGATACAATCGCTCTCCATCCTGTTTTTAAAATTCATTCCTATTATCTCCTGGTCTCTCCTTAATAGCTTTCCCACGAAATTGTAAACCTGAAAACGTGATACTAGATAGTCACGAAAGAAGTGAGGTTAGCCCACAACAACATGGACACCCCTAACCAGTATGCCAACAAACACAAATGTATAAACTCTGTTTAATAAATCATTACCAATGGGTGTGGGGAAGGGGGCGATAAGAAGAAAAGGGGTATTGATCCAGGATCCATTCGCAGCCCGATAATACAAAGTGATATTTTAAGAGCCATCGGTTATTTATTTCTTCGATTGGGGATCGATAATTGGGCTTGTTCTTCATTGTATAGGGAATGATCGGAAACAACAGAGCGCTGCCTCCGTAGGTCCCCCTGCGCACAAGGCGTAGATTTGCAGACAATCGCAACGACCCACTCTGCCGCGTCGACTTAAGCCGTCGCCTGGCAACGGGCGGAGGAGGCTATCTCCATTCGGGAGGGTAGGCCAGAGAGCCGAGTTTATCCAGATATTGATCTGAGTGTCGTCTTGCGAATTAAAAAATAACAGATTTACAAAGGGCGAAGAAATGGCACTGATAACTGGTTTCCAAAATCTTGGAAATCAAGTAAAAATGTGAATGCATTCCTAGTGAATAATTGGGAAGTTAGTATTCAAACAAAATCTATTTATTTACGATGTATACTTTGAGATCCCTACATAATGTAGGATGAACATCTATTTCAGAAACTTGTTTTTGCGTGGTTCTGATTAAAGGAAAGACGATATTAAAGAAACATGTTGAATAAGTACAGGATAAGAACAAATAAGAAAGCAGCATGAATATATATGTATATAATTTATATATAAACACAGTACCTCAAAATATACATAATAATATGGCATGTTAAAACTAAGGCAATATGATATCAGATAAAAACTCAACCATACAGTCAAGGAAAGAAATGGAGGATGGGAGAAAATGGCAAGGCTGAACAAAGGAAAAGAATTATGAATTATGAGAAGACATCAAAACAGAAAAATAAAATAAAATAAAAGATAAAGAAAAATTGAAGACATTTGTGGAGAGAAAGGTTCAGATAATATTATGAGCAATATGGAAGTGAAATCCTAATCATGATGAGAATGTACATGCATTTCTTTTTTTGTTAATGCTTCCCCACAGATTTGCAAGCATGGAGTCTAAACTGATGAGGATGTCTCGTCTGCTTTCTCTAGTTTTGGTCGTTTCCCAATTTCCAGGTATGCGTACATGAATATTTAAAATGTATTCCAGTTTTTCGGTGCAATGTATTTCTCTTTTATGAAAATAAGTAACTATATCATTTTCTATAACCCTTATCCTTCAGAATGTGCTTTTTGTCATATCAATATCAAAAGCTAAGTTGGTCAAATGACAGAAGCAAGTTTATCAGTAATTTGAAGTCTCCTCATCGGATATTTTTTAATGCGATCGCAAAACAAATTTAGCACTTGGCTTCATTGTTTTAATAATCATGAAAGACAGTGAGAGGCATACCCGGAAAAGAGTTCGAGTCGAGCTTATTACGTGGTTTAGGAGCTCAGTACGTTGTTTATGTGCCTCAGATTTCTCTGTATGTCGTGTTCGAGATAATTTGAAGATGGGTGAGAAGCCTACATCGCTACAATATGTTTACATGACCGCATAGTATAAATTACAAAGCGACCAGTCAGCCTACCTAACGCGAAAATAAAAGTGGTTGAGTCGGATCAATAACCCTCTATCGATCTGCATCTGTCCCTCGTTGAAATGGTCGATGAATATAAATCAAGATGCAAATTTTCATTTATACGCCATTTCTCCCTCTCCCAACCCCTCCCAGAACACTTGGTGCTGAAAAGAATGCACTGTATAATTTTTTCCTGTAAATGTCAACCTCGTGATTAGGAAATATCCAGAATATGGATGCAAAATGGAAAAAAGAGAAAATGAAAAATTCGTTTGGGGGAGGGGAGGGGGAGGGGGTGGCAGGAGTGTACACAGGTAAGATTAGCTACATTTTGGAGCTACAATTGTCATAAATTCCTTTGAGATGCCCCCCCCCCCCCCACAGGAACCCCTCCAGTGCGCCTTGTGCTTACATCCTTGTACAAGGCGTTTTTGTCAACATCATGCCCCTCACGACTCGGGTGTATGTACCTGTCTATTCTGGGGTAAAGATAATTGGATTATGATTTATTGTTAAGCTTACATTATATATTCATATATTCTATTAATTGGTTTATTTAGTAAGTTATTGGAATCTGTTTTTCTTTCTTTCTTTTTTCTTTACTTTCTGATTCATTTACTGATTTAATAACTTAATTAAACTACTTATTCATTCATCTATCATTTGTTCATTTATTCATTTATTTGATTATTTATTTATTCATTTATTCATTCATGTATTTATTTATTTACCTGCCTATTTATTTACCTATTTATTCATTTCATGATGTATTCATTTTTCTCCATGAAAGGTTTCCTTGGTCAAGTGATCCCCGAGGAAGCTCTACTGGTATCGCGTCTTCTAGACCATGGCTATAGCACCATTGTGCGTCCAGTCATGTACCAAGAAGACACCATCACCGTTAAGATTGACTTGGCTATAGTCAACCTCCTAGATATGGTGAGCGAAAACTAGTACATATTGAGCATAAACTGGTCCATACCAGTGGCGTAGCTACAGAAACCACAAGGGGCGGAGTGGGGGGGGGGGGGGGGGGGACGTGTAACCCAATCGAACGGGCAAATGAAAATAGAGCGGAAAAGAAAAGAGAAACAAAAGGAGAGAAGACAAAAAGAACAGATAAACAAAAAGAGAGAAAGAGAAACGGAGAGGGAAAAGATAACGTTAAGAGAAGCGGATACAACCCCTTCCACACCATCTCCATAATAGATGACCTTGCCCGTGCCCCCCCCCATGACACCAGTAAGTGCCCCTAAATGGCTGGATCCACGCTACGCCTTTTTCAATTGATTGATTTTTCGTCACTCTGTTTTGTTTCTGTGAAATTATTTTGCAGGGCATCAAACATCATCATCACGAAGATCAGGAAATTTACTTCATATTCCACCGCAGATGGCGGCACAATAGATAGGAAAATAGCAAGCTGGACCTTGTTTTCATCGATACGTTATACTTTCAATTTCATTTTGTTTTGATTCAACCTTTTCCATCTTCGTTGTTAATTCCTTACGTTCTCCTCCCTTTCCTCTGATTAAATTTTTTTTACATGCAAACATAATATTTATTTAGTATGAAAGATTTTTTTTTCGATTTTTGGTATAGTATGCTAATGTTTGGACGCGGAATTCCCTCAGTATAATCCTTATTTGCGTGCATATTTATAATGTTTTCATAATGATGATTAGTAAAGATATGATGATATAAATTTGTCTATAAGTTTGGGATTATTAGTAAGTAAAACAAAATTGAAACATATGAATGTGTTCATATTTCATCTCGTCACTTACTTTTTTTTTAAATAAAGGAAATGAAAAGGTTTTTCTTTATAGGTATAATATAAACAAACTGTTTTCAGTCTCGTTTACATTGTTTGAATAATCAATTGAGGGTAGGACATTTTATCGCAATGAAAATATTGGCTGCGATCCAGATGCTTTAATTTCATAGCTAAAGTAGGCTATGTAATGTCGAATTCTCTTCAGGTACACTCTTGAGTGAACACAAAGTGACTACTTTGCAATACGTGATCTGGGAGCTATCCTGCTAATTTCGGCAAAAAAAAACGAGAACAAGGCGAGGAGAATAAATATAGCTGTAACCTAATTCTACGTTCAATTATTTAGTCCCGTATACCTTTCAAATATGATATAAATCTAAAACCATTTCGTAGAAATTGTTCCGGTTCGCACCCTAAGTCTCATTCTTTGTCCCCGTATTCTATTAATCCATTACCCTTCTTCTCTTTCACAAGAACAACTACTCCGAGGATTGGTTTAAAGGTGTATAGATTTGTAGTTCGCGTTTGGTCGTCCGCTATTTCCTACACTTCCTTCTTTTTTATGAGTGTGACGGGTAGAACGTCACGAATAGGGGGTGATTAAGGAAACGCGCGGTGCCCTAGCGAATCCCAGGGGTCGTCGTATCGCTGTCCTCTATACGATGCAAATTGAGCTGGAACGATGATGATGATGGTGGGGGTGGTGGTGGAAAAGAAAAAGGCTCGTCTGAACAAATCAATATTTTCTGGCTTTTATCTTTGTTTGCATTTAGGACGAGGCGAATCAGATCATGACGGCCAACACGTTCATGACCCAGGTAGGTATGAATGTACACTATCTCTGTATAGTGTTTTGTGTGCAAAATGTTAGGAACGTTCATATTAAGATTTATCAATTTAAATGCTTGCATTTTGGCATAAATCCTTGCTGATAAATTCATGAAAGATTTAAAGAAAATAATATGATCTTAAATTATAAATTCATCTAAGGTGCGGAAAATGCTTGTTTAAAAAAAACTAGGTTTTAACATATCGATTTAATCATGTTGAAGTTGAATGATCATAATTGTATATATTCCGTTTTCAACTGATGAATGTTGACTGTGTTCTAAATATACCTATTACAATCCATGAAAAATAATATACAACATGAACCATATGGAAAACAAATGTAGGTGTATCCAGAAACGTCCAGCGTATAACGTAAGCGTAACATCTCCCAATATAGATTTTATCGAATTGAATTATACCATCATGACCATGTTATACGTTATTCTTACCCATGCAGGCCTTTCAGTAATACGATTAAAGGAAAGGTATACCCACTCGGGGGTATCTATTTGAGTTATCACTTTGAGATCCTCCTCTGAAAGCGATACGGTTTCTTTTTTCCGAAAACGACCCCATCATTTACAGTGCAATACAGTCGTAACTGAGTTACAGGCCCCTCACAATGAAATTTATTTCTCCTTAGTTTGGGCGGGAGCGGAGCGAAGAATTGGCGGAGAAAATATTTGAATTGCAGTATCAATAGCTATCATGTCTGTGTGTATAGGGGGCAGACGAGAAAACACCCTAGGTGTTTGAAACATTGAGGGAATAGAGGATGTGATTGGACGGCAAACAAAGCCGTGCCCTCCTGTATAACGAAGTTTAAAATTATACAAGTTGGAAGAAGATGGCATCATTCTGGGGACATGGAGAAAAAAGTAGTACTTGTTGAACGTATATACAAAGCCCGAGTGGCAAGAGTTACGAAGGCATGATGGTTATTTACATTGTTTTTTGGTTCATGAAATTATTATGAAATGTGAAAAAGCCAGTATATCGTGATATGTTACCAAGAGCGGCTCTAGAATTAAAATAAAGAAACTTGAAGTAGGGAGAGTGGTTATAAGCATATTTGTTTTCTTTTTGGATAACCGTACTCCTTCTCTAACGGGTGAACGGGGGGGGGGGGGGGGAGGCTTCAGCCCAACACTGAATCCACTCCTGGGTATTTGCTAGTTTTATATTGAAATTAAGCACAAAGAGAAGTGCGAACACGAATTTAATTTGGTAATCAAAAACAATATTATCTGTACATATAAGAAACCAACTTAATATGCGACTATTTAATATCATAAAATAGTCGCCTAAGTTATGCACGTTAGAGTTGGATTTGATGCAGAGTACCTGTGGAGCGCTTCACAAAATTATCATCATAATCACAAGTTCGCCGGCACCCCATTGAAGCGCGCATACAAAATTAAACACCGTTCCAATGAAATGTTGGAGAACTTGATGACGGTTTCGTGAAACAAGGTCCGAGACGTTTTTTATTTGACTTTTCTTTTTTTCTTCATTTATTTTTTAGGAATGGAATGACGCCTTCCTCCAATGGGAACCATCCGAGTCCTGGAACATTACAGATGTCCAGGTACCCATCAACAACATCTGGAGACCCGACATCATTCTTCATAACAAGTACGTATTGCATCGACTGCACACGAGAAGTCATTTTCCTGACGCAGGACCGACGCAGGACTGCGTCAGCGATTGGCGTAGTCTTTGACGCACCGTGTAATCAGATGACATCGTAAAGAAATGAAAGCAAAATGAACAGTACAAGCAATGCGTTGAATTACTCATGCATGCGCCAATTGCCTTCAGCTGCTCGATTAGCGTTTTGTAGTGACGCAATCAAATTAACGCCTCGTGTGCTTTATTGCAAATTAATACAGGCTGTCATTTCTTTAGCGCCATTAAGGAGCATTCGGATTTATGAATGCACATGGCGGGGCCAGAAGCAGTCTTCTAGGTATAGACAAAACTCTTTGACGCGGTGATGTGATTCCTCGTGTATAGAACAACCTGTCCATTGCACACAACGCGCAATTTAATTGCGCTATATCTATCCTAATGATGCCAATGTGCTTTAAGGCATTTGAAAATATTCTCCAGAAATTCAAAGAAATGTTTTCACTGTGCATTACGCGCTTACTTTTTGTGATATGCCAATGCGCCAGTGTCTGGCGCAATGATACGTCAGACCAATGTATCTTTTTGACCATTATGCACTCTGCACATGAGGCCTAATTCCATTAGTGATACTACGAATCAAGATTGCAAAGACATGAATACATTAAGATCATACACCACTAACACCAGTACTTCAAAGAAACATGTTAACTGTTTATTCACATGCACTTTGTGAACGAATTCACTCTCGAGTGCCTCGTTGAAGCCGAATACCGCTTACTGGCACAGTCCTTCGCCAAACAAATGGGAGTGACACCCTCATACATGTGTAACATGCATGGGATAGCTTTCCACAAAATGCGAACATCATTCTCGAAACAGTGATCATTACATTACGTCTTTTGCCTGTCGTGGATTTCAAATCCTTGAGTCCTTAATCCATCACATTGTTCTATGTTCTTTGAACCTGACAGCGCCAATGATGAGCTGAACGGCGGCATCCGCTGGACTCACGCCTGGATCCGATACGACGGGACTGTGACCTGGAAGACCAACTACATCCTGATGAGTGCCTGCCCAATGAACCCTCTCTACTTCCCCTTCGACACCCAGAACTGCTCCCTCAAACTCGGTTCCTGGACCTACAACGAGGACGAGATCAACGTCATCGCCAACAGTACTTCCGGTGACGCGACGCAGTACCAACCCAACGGCGAGTGGGACCTGATTGACTTCCCTTTGCGTCGCGAGGTAGACGTGCGCCAGTGCTGCCCGGGTGCGTATCCATCCGTCATCTTTAACGTCATCATCAAACGGCAGTTCTTGTTCTACTTTTTCAATCTGGTCGTCCCGTGTGTGATCATCTCGTCTCTAGTGTTGCTGAGCTTTGTGCTGCCGTCGGACGCCTGTGAAAGGATCACCCTGACCCTCACCGTTCTTCTGTCGCTTACCGTGTTTCTGCTGCTCGTCGCCGAGACCATGCCGCCGACGTCCGAAGTGGTGCCGCTCATTTGTAAGTTATCAAGTTATCCATCTTTAGAGATATGAGTGTGAGGTATTGTGAATGGATATTTGAAAGCGTGTTCACTCGTCACACAACATAACTCTTATTTTTATTTTAGCTACGAGGAAGCAAGGTTGCACTGACAATAAAATACATGAAAGAAAGTATTCCCTTTTCGTTATGTTTATTGGGTACTGATGAGGCTGACGTACACTTGCAAAGTGTAGTCAAGCACAAGCCGAAGATTCGGAATGAGAATGCATAAATGAGAATTGAAGATATTGCACGTAGTTACATTATAATGATCAAAGATAAGAATGAACATGAATAAATGCGATGTACATAATGAATGAAAGCTTACGACAGAATAGAAATGGCGTCGAAAGTCCAATGAAGATGAAGAGAGTTGAGAAACGAAGGAAGGGGCTCACGCGATGAATGTACGGAGGCTTGAAGGCGGAGATGCAGCTTCGTATTCGTGGCTGAAGAGCGGTGAAGGATCTCGACGCTGACGCTCGTGATAAAGATGTGGTTGAAGCTCTCAGGCGAGAAGAGAAGAGAAGAGAAGAGATGTGGCGCTCGACGACGAAGCAGTGAATCGCTTGATGTCGGAGGCAAGTAGAAATGTAGACACGCAAAGCCGGCACTGGTGCTGAGTAGTAATAGTTGCTCGTTTGATGCGCCGGACTTTGATGAAGAAATGTTTAGATGAGCTGCGGTGAAATGATGAGCTCGTGAGTGGAAAGAGCTACCGGAACGAAGAAACTGGCAGCTCCCAGCGGAGAGTCAGGCGCCATGTCGGTCCTGACTATAACGTTCCACTGGGAGACTGCAGCCCGATGAACACGGCAGAGAAAGAGTTGATGTGCCGTAGAATAGACGACAGGCACAGAAGAATACAGCCTGGAGAGGAAATTGTGGAGACGTCTTGACTCGACCAAGGTGAAAGCGGGAGTGGAGAAAAACCTCGTGGAATTGAAAATACGCGAGGTGAACAGTGCGGAACCACGATGCGCGATTGGAGGAATGAACACACGTGGTCCGAATAATGAATATAAATAAGTACCGTGATGGAAAAATACAGGAGACATGAATGTACGGTGAAAGTAGGGCGAATGTAAGTAGGGCGAATGTAAGAGCCGCTACACATCCAATAGGGAATCGAAGAATGTGGAAGGGTGAGGGGGCGGGGGGCGGAAAACCCCTTGTACCATGAGATGTGCTCGTATATGCAACCCGCAGAAGCAGGGGCGTACGCAGGATTTTTTCAAGGGGGGGGGGGGGGGGGGTTAAGATCTGGCCCAAATATTTTGCTCCCGAAAATTTGAAAATCGCGCCGGCCGAAAAGTTGGGGGGGGGGGGGGGGGGGGGGGGGGTAAGCGGACACTTTTTTTTTTTTTTTGGTCTCGAAATTTGAAAATTTGACATTTTTTTCGTTGGGGGGGGGGGGGGGGGTAAGGTCACTTTACGTTAGCCGTGGGCATAATTTTTTATTTATTTTTTATTTTAATTTTTAATTAAAACAAAAAACAAAAAACAAAAAACAAAAAAAAAAAAAACAAAGGGGGGGGGGGGGTTTAGTTTTTTTTAGGGGGGTTTACACACATAAAAATACCAAAGGGGGGGGGTTTGAACCCCAAACCCCCCCCCCCCCTGCGTACGCCCCTGCGTAGAAGGCACCCGTCGGAGGGATCCTGGATAGACTACTACTAGGACTTTAAGCTTTGACTTGATAAACCAATTATTGGCCTTGAAAATATCACCCGAATCATGAACAAATTCTGTGAAGTATACCAAAGTTTTGTGTATATGCCAACAAAAAATTGGAAGGAAATGCGATAAGATATTTTTTTCATTTTAGTCGTTCCAAAGTCCCATTAGTTTTTCTTTTTCGACTATTTTTCTCCAGACAATAGTCGTTAACAAGATCGCAACTACTTTCGAAATAGCCACTCAAGGGCGATTTCAATACCCTATTGAATGTCCCATAGAAATCATGTTTGGATTTGTAATACCTTATTGTCATGTTCACACATTCCAATAGGTGACACACAAGGCAATTAAAATTGCCTTAGGTTGATTTTTCGAAATAAGGGAGTTTACAGATAGCACATGGTACAAATGACCCCAAATATCCGCATATCTTTTACACATGGAGAATTCCACTTTGAGCATATTAGAATAATAACTGCCAAAGTCCTAGATGTGCTTCATGAATACCTTTTGTTTGCCCTCTTGAAAAGAATACTTCCACCTGCGTATTAAAAGAATGTACCGTTGGTGCATAAATGAATAATGTTACATAACTTTCATGAGCGCATATCCAATATCACTATGAATATGACTGACAAAGAAAGCGGACAAAATATACAGTTCCTCAGGCAGACAAAGGAACATCCCCTTCACTGCTATTATGTAAAAATGTGTAGAACAGGTGTCACATGCATATTCACCTTTTTACATAATAGCAGTGAAGGGATGTTCCTTTGTCTACCTGAGGAACTGTATATTTTGTCCGCTTTCTTTGTCAGTCATATTCATAGTGTATTCATCTCTGTGGGTTTGTGGGTTTTACCTTTTTGGTACAAATGACCTTTATCTGCCCATGCGCAGATTGTATCTGTAAACTCCCTTATTACTTGCAATCGTGGTCGCTTTTCGATGATGTATAGTTAATTCTTTGTGACATTTATTGAAATACTGCTTTATATCCTCTATTAGTCTTGTTTTACCATACCAAATTACTTTCATCTGGATTTCCCCCCTCTCCAGCTCAATATTTCGCTGCGATCATCGTGGCTGTCGGCTTGATCACGGTCTTCACCGTGGTCACCTGCAGCATCCATCACACTGGAGACAGTCAACGTGCTCCCCGCCTCGTCCGCCGGGCCATCCTCGGCTACCTCGCTCGTTTCCTCTGCGTTCAGACCATCCCCGTGGACGACGACGACGACGACGATGACTTGAAAAAGTCATCGTCCTCCTCCACCACCGGGTCGGTGAAGCGCCGTAACGAGGTCGACGGGGATGGGGTTCTGAACCCCGTCTTCGAAGATGACGACGGCAACGGAGATCCGTTTCAGGCGTCCACGTCGGCGTCCAACTGCGACCCGATCGAGATGCTCATGTCGAAGATCTCGCGTGGCGTGGCCCACTTCGCCAAGCTCACCTTCGACGAAGCCGAGAGCAAGAGGACGTCGATGGAGTGGATGCACATCGCCAGTGTGCTCGACCGTTTCTTTACCTATTTCTTCGCCATCATTTGCCTAGCCATCACCCTGGGCACCATTGTCGCCGCCGCCGCACAGGCTTAGTAATCGCGGTCGAGCATGATCCCGACTTACGCGTCTATCATCGTATGGTATTCTATAAGGCCTCTATAATGGCAATTACATTATTTCGATTGAAACAGAAGATTAATTTATCAATTAAAATAGCAACCCCCCAAAAAGAAGGGGAAAAAAGGGATACTACGTGCATATGTCGACTGCCAGACGTTTGTTAAAACGCCCTTCTGACATAAACAAATCAAACTATGCACTCTTTTTTCTGTTCATGCACAATTTTATTACAAATATGACAAATGCAATGGTTGGTGGAGACTTTACTTCGATAGCTACTTTGCAATTAAATGAACTACTGTAAATATATTAAATTATGATTTTAATCAGTTTGTGAAGTATACTGGGAAATAATACAATATTGAATGTGCTTTGCATCAAGCTATTTTGCATTAGAATCCTCCTCCTAATGTTCACTTATTTTTGCTTGTCTTTCTCTTTTCAGTCACACCCATACTTCCTATCAGATTTTTCTATCTTGTAAATAAATTCCTTCTCTTCTTTTGATTTCTAATATTTTATCATTCCTTTAAAAGAAAAAAAAAATCATAATCTTGGCTTTTAATCAGCTCAAGCTCTGAATTGATTGATTTATGCAAATCGTTAGTTTAATATATAATAATAATTCTTTCCTTCCCTTTGGTTTTGATTGATTTCTAAAAACTAGTAATTGTGATATCTATCATAAAACATTTTGTAAATACACATGACAATAAAATGTTAACGTGAAACAAATGTGCAATAAGTGATACAAGACGATTTACAATGTAAATATATGATGTCAAGTATTCAGAGCATTATTATAATATTTCTTTTGTCTCGCATAATGTTTGTTTAGAATATGAAATGGAATGGCATGTTATTCTTTTCAGCATTATCAGATCATATACAACCGAATTAATGTCTATGTTTAATCAATATAATTACAGTACTGCTCAAACGAAATCGATATCAAATTCATTCCTCTGAACGATACTATGTCCCATTTGCAGCCAACATCAAATTCTGTAGAACTTTGCAGGAATAATGAACTTGTCACGTATGTCCTATCTGTGAAATTTAAACGTTAGCAGTGTCCTCATATTCAAATTATGCAAGGAAACCCGTTTACTTGCTAGACTTCACTGTCAGACACTATTGAGTGACTGACTGACTTTCTTTTTTTCTTGGTAATGACATACATAAAATGAGCTGTAAAGAGTACATGAGCATTTGTCTACATCAATAACCCAATTCTTGTAATGGCCAAAACTAAATTGATTGAATCTTTGCGCAGCACAAAACGTAAGACCACTCGGTACAAGTGTTTGAAAATCAGACAATTACTTTTAGTGATTGCAATCACTAAAGTAGATTCGACAACTAATGGTCATTATTTTCCCACTTAAAGACACTTTCAAGCCCTTTCGTATTGAGGGAAGTTCTAAATTAGTATTATCTTTGAATTTGCCGTTGGAATTTAACCTTTTCATTTTTTGGGGCCTGCAAATGGGAAATAGTACCTTTAAGTAGTTAAGACTCTGATGGCGAACATTTACGACATATAGATATATGGTAAGATCTTCATGAATAATTAGGTGAGGTACAAACTGAAACAAGATATCCGTTCTCCAGTGTGTAACAGAATAAATAAACCCAATGTAACTTGTACTGTCTGCAAAATCGCATCATTAATACATGCCTGAAAAGAGGAAGATGATAAAGTGAAAGAAATCAGGAGAGAATAGAAAGATAGATAGATAGATATATAGATAGACAGAGAGAGGCAGAGAGAGAGAGAGAGAGAGAGAGTGTATGCGTGTGTGCGTGTGTGAGTGTAATGAGGGGGTGGTGGCTTTTTAACATTTCTCCATGTCTGATGAACTTTCTGTCCTTTGCTGACTGTCTCATTTTCCATCTATCTTTACATTTTCCTAACTTCCTTTCACTTTCGTACCCGCTCTCTTGTACTTTATTATTTAACTCTCCCAATCGTCTCTTCTCTCTCTCCCCATCTGTCTGTCTGTCAGTCTTACTCACTCGCTTTCTTAATCTTCTATAGCATTGTTCTCCCTCCAAATCTTTCCCTCTCTCCCCCTCACTCTTCTGTCTTTTCCTACTCCCTCACCTTCTCTCTATTATTTACATCTCTCTCTCTCCCCCCTCTCTCTCTCTCTCCCCCTCTCTCTCTCTGTCTCTCACACATTCTCTCCTCTTTATCCTTTTCTCTTCTCTCTCTCTCTCTCTTCTCTCTCTCTATCTCATCATTTCCTCCAGCTACCGTCTCTGACCTCAGAATGCACTTCTTTTGGTCAAGTGTTATGGAAACTTTGCTTAAGCGGCCGCACTGTTTGCCTTGTCTTATACCATTTTTTCCTGGAGTTTTTGTCTTCTCCCGTAATGATTGACACCCGTTGGCAGAAGCAATTAGCCCCCGAAAGTGCAGGCGGCTACTTGATCGCTGAATTTAGTTTCATTCGTTACACGTCGCCATTTTCTCTCTTTTTTCCTACCGTGATGTTGCAAGTGTTTCGCTTCTCATATTTTGTTTAAAAGAGGTGTTGTATCTTTTACTGCCGTCGGCAGATCAAATATGTAAACGATCACGGTTATATATTTGACATCCACATTGTTGGGAAGAAAATATTTTTTGCTCCACAACCTGGCGGGCCTTTATTTCGCTGAACATTTTTGTATAACAACGAAACTTTATCGAGAAAAATTATCGGCTCGAGAGGGATCGAGAGAGAGACAGAAAGAGAGGGATCGAGAGAGAGACAGAAAGAGAGGGAGAGAGAGAGAGAGAGAATGAGAGAGAGAGAGAGAGAGAGAGAGAGAGAAGGATAAGGAAGGAGAGAAAGAAGGAGAGAGAAAGAGAGAGAGAGAGAGAGAGAAAGAAATAGTCTGTGTGACCATAAACAGCATGATACCAAGAAAATAAATATTGAGTGATATGTAACTATCAGAAAACTTTTTAAACGTATTAACCACAATTTATTTCGTAAATGCACGTATTAACTCATAAAGCATTAAGTAATATTCAAGTTTAATGTCTCTAGTGGAACTAATTGATTATATCATTGGGTATTTTTGCATTTGCCACATAATCCCCCAGACTTTTTTGGGAAAAATTTCAAAGTAACTAAGAAGAAAATGAGAAAGGCTATACTAAAAATTCATCTAAAGTCTCAGTGAAACTTCTATGTGCATGATCTACACGGTTAAGATATCAAAACCGAAAGAAAATTAATATTCACAACTACGGCGATGACATTGGTGATAATCAAACCGTGAAAAGAAACAATGATAATAACAAGAAATTCAAACATTCAGCTAATTTAGTCGCTCAAAAAACGAAACGAAAAATTACCAAAAATCTTTTTTCGCTCACTGGCAATAACTCAAAATGTATTATTTATTTTTGTCAATGACACTTGAATAATGTGCGGTGATGGTATACTGAAATTAAACCCCTAATAATAGAAAAATAATGAAGACATTTGGATGAAGGAATATCATTTTTCTTCCATTCCCTTATCCCGAAGTAAAATAATTAAGGCCCAGAAAAGTAATTGTCTTGGAGTTGGAACATGAATATCTGCTCCCCTCCCCTCCCCAAGGTAAGGGAAGGGGAGTATGTCACTGAGCAGTGATAGATATCCCAACACGATTTTCAAAATCATCGTCTCCAAACGCAATTTGAGACAAAGACTTAAATGCTTCGCCGTTCCCTAGAAAATGTTTGCACCTGTATTAAATCGGCGTCACTTCGTTGACTTTCTGCTGTATAATGACTTTTAATAAAGATATTGATGTTGGTAAAAAGGAATCGTTCGCTTGCGAAAGTAACGAAATATGAGATCTTCATCCTCACATGCTATTTATTTTTCTTTAGTATACACAATCTCGTCAGGATTTTATCGAAATCCAAAACTGTTAGGTAAAATATTTCTTCTTGACAGCCTAAGATGATCCAGAAAGATTGCACTTTCGGGAAGAAAATCTCGAAATATTAGTCTAGATGGCATCGAAGATCATTATATAGTTTGACTTGTTTGCGCACACCTTTCCCACATAAGACCGAGTCGTAGGAGAAAGTGCAAAGCTTCGATGGCAAATATTATTCCAAGATATTACATCAGTAATCGGGGATGTTTGTCTTTCATTTGCACCAGCCACTTCGATTCCACTTTTATTTCCTTCCATCTGTCCTTCTCGACTGACTGCTCCCTTCTTTTTGCTCTCTGTTGAAACCATGTGACTCCTTGCCCAATCATCACCAAGCCCCCCCCCCTCCCACCCACTCCCCTCTCCATCCTTACAAGAAAGTTCTTTTCTTTACGCCACGCTCGACATTCAATTCGGATGCACACGCCGCGACGGTGCCCTTCCAGGCCGATTTTTTTTTCCTTCTCACTCTTCCACTAGGAAAACACAAATGTCATATCGTTTTAAAATAATGATAATAGGTGCATGGGGAAAACTGCGATATGATCCGATGCAAAAAGGAAAGGAAAATTATTTGTCGTGGAGGGATTGACTTACATCCACAATACCAGTAATGAAAATTGTTGGGAATTGGATGAAATTCTTCCCACAACACTATCGATTTCGCGAGCAAGGAGGTGAAAAGAGAAAAGGAAAAAAGCAAGATGCTTGTGGGTGGGAGACATGAGAGGGTGTGGGCGAGAGAGAGAGAGAGAAAGAGAGAGAGAGAGAGAGAGAGAGAGAGAGAGAGAGAGAGAGAGAGAGAGAGTGCGCGGCGCTGGTTGCTTAAAGTACACTGCGCCCCCATGTGTACATTGCACGCTTATGGTAATAATTCCTCCTAAGTCAACACACAGAGAAGGAAAACGTGAGAGATCAAATACTACCGTTTTTTCCTCTCTCTTTTTTTTCTTATATTCTTTTAGTCATCGTTGTTTCATATCGCGATTTCTCCTTCTCTTTTGCTTTCCCCAACTTCTTTGCGATTTCTTTTCGCCGTTCGGAGCGGATGTGGGTAAACTTCCACGGCTATATGTACTCAAACTCGCAAAATCAATCCT